AGTATCCAGAGTAATCCAGTATCCAGGTTGTGAGGACCAGGATGCTGTAGGTGGGATGTCGTCGTCTCGTGCTGTTGAACAGGTCGGGTGTAAATGACCAAATTGGGAGAAATGTGAATAAAATGGGATTTAAATTGATGATAAAAGAAATGTGGGAACACAGGGTCTAATTTTGAAATGAGGAAAACACGGAGCTGTGGAGATGTGGACGCTCCCGGGCGCTCCCGGAGTGTCCCGGACGCTCCCGCTCCTGGAGTGTCCTGGGACGCTCCTGGACGCTCCTGGACCTCCCTGGACGCTCCTGGACGCTCCTGGAGTGTCCCGGGCGCTCCTGGACGCTCCTGGACGCTCCTGGACGCTGCTGTCAGATTCCGTGGGTAAACGGGGAGTGTCCCTGTAACACTTGGTAAGCAGGACGTGGATGGAGGCGGGACACTGATGTTCTCAAACTCTCAGTGACACGTTTCTTTCTTCAGGTTTGTTTTGTTTTGTTTTTGAAGGCGACGTTCCACACGCCGTTCAGTCAACTGGGCCAGAGCGCAGAGGGCTGCTCCTCCTACACCTTCCCCAAACTCATGGGACACGCCAAAGTGAGAGCTCCTGCCTGCTCCTGTCTGCTCCTGTCTGCTCCTGTCTGCTCCTGTCTGCTCCTGTCTGCTCCTGCCTGCCTCTGCTCCTGTCTGCTCCTGCCTGCTCTGCTCCTGTCTGCTCCTGCCTGCTCCTGCCTGCTCCTGCCTGCTCCTGCCCTGCTCCTGCTCCTGCCTGCTCCTGTCTGCTCCTGTCTGCTCCTCTGCTCCTGCTCCTGTCTGCTCCTGCCTGCTCCTGTCTGCTCCTGTCTGCTCCTGCCTGCTCCTGCCTGCTCCTGTCTGCTCCTGTCTGCTCCTGTCTGCTCCTGTCTGCTCCTGCCTGCTCCTGCCTGCTCCTGCCTGCTCCTGTCAGCTCCTGTCCTGCTCCTGCTCCTCCTGCTCCTGTCTGCTGCTCCTGCCTGCTCCTGTCTGCTCTGTCTGCTCCTGCTGCTCCTGTCTGCTCCTGTCTGCTCCTGTCTGCTCCTGCCTGCTCCTGCCTGCTCCTGTCTGCTCCTGTCTGCTCCTGTCTGCTCCTGTCTGCTCCTGCCTGCTCCTGCCTGCTCCTGTCTGCTCCTGTCTGCTCCTGCCTGCTCCTGTCTGCTCCTGCTCCTGCTGCCTGCTCCTGTCTGCTCCTGCCTGCTCCTGTCTGCTCCTGTCTGCTCCTCTGACCCTCCTCTCATGTTCTCCTCACATTTTCCTCATGTTCTCATCTTGTTTTCCTCGTGTTCTCCTGACGTTCTCCTGATGTTCTCCTGATGTTCTCCTGATGTTCTCCTGACGTTCTCCTGACGTTCTCCTGACGTTCTCCTGACGTTCTCCTGATGTTCTCCTGACGTCTCCTGTTCTCCTGACGTTCTGACGTTCTCCTGACGTTCTCCTGATGTTCTCCTGACGTCTCCTCCTGTTCTCCTGATGTTCTCCTGACGTTCTCCTCCTGTTCTCCTCCTGTTCTCCTGATGTTCTCCTGATGTTCTCCTGACGTTCTCCTGACTGTTCTCCTGATGTTCTCCTGACGTTCTCCTCCTGTTTCTCCTGTGTTTCCTGATGACGTTCTCCTGACTTCGTTCTCTGACGTTCTCCTGATGTTCTCCTGACGTTCTCCTGACGTTCTCCTGACGTTCTCCTGACGTTCTCCTCTGGTTCCAGGCCTGTGAGATGTTGCTCTTCAATAAGAAGTTGTCGGCGGTTCAGGCGTGTCACTTGGGTTTGGTCACCGAGGTTTTTCCAGATTCCACTTTTCAGACGGAAGTTTGGACCCGACTCAAATCCTACGCCCGACTGCCCCCCAACGTGAGAAATACTGCAAATACTACAAATACTACATACTACTACAAATACTACTACTACAAATACTACTACTACAAATACTACAGAAAGTACAAATACTACATATACTACTACAAATACTACATAAAGTTACAAATACTACCACTAGTACTACAAATACTACATATACTACAAATATTACAAATACTACATAAAGTACAAATACTACATATACTACAAATACTACAAATACAACATAAAGTACAAATACTACAAATACTACATATACTACAAACACTACAATTACTACAAATACTACTACAAATACTACTACAAGTACTACCACTAGTACTACAAATACTACAGATACTACATATACTACAAATACTACAAATACTACATATACTACAAATACTGCATATACTACAGATACTACAAATACTACATATACTACAAATACTGCATATACTACAAATACTATGACTAGTACTACAAATACTACATATACTACAAACACTACAATTACTACAAATACTACTACAAATACAACTACAAATACTACATAAAGTACAAATACTATTACTAGTAATACTACTACTACAAATACTACAAATACTACAGATACTACATATACTACAAATACTACATATACTGCATATACTACAAATACTACATATACTACAAATACTACATATACTACAAATACTACATATACTACAAATACTACATATACTACATATACTGCATATACTACAAATACTGCATATACTACAAATACTATGACTAGTACTACAAATACTACAAATACTACATAAGTACAAATACTACTGTAGGAGCCATTCGTGGGTTTTCTATTGGTTTCCTCACGTGACTAATGTGCAGTTCACTGCGGTGTCTGGGGGAGGCACGGTGGGTGTGGCCTGTATATGCGCGCGCTCACCTGTATATACACGCTCACCTGTATATGCGCGCGCTCACCTGTATATGCGCGCGCTCACCTGTATATACACGCTCACCTGCATATGCGCGCGCTCACCTGCATATGCGCGCGCGCGCGCGCTCACCTGCATATGCGCGCGCTCACCTGCACATGCGCGCGCTCACCTGCATATGCGCGCGCTCACCTGTTGTGTGTGAGGCCTTGGATCATGGTGGTGTGGTCAACACGGGGAGCAACTTTCTGTTGACCGTATTTTAACAGGAAAGATTTGCATATAGAAGGTATCGGTGCATGGCTACGGACGGCAGCAGCTTTACAGTAAGTAAAGTAAGTGCTCTAACGCGTACGCCTACTATGACAAACAAGTACCGTGTATATGCATTTGTTCCGAGTTACGCGTCCGCAGTGTTTTACCCCGTGGCTTAGCCCGCCGCGGCGTGTGGGATAAGCATTGGGCTACATACGCCGCAATAACTACAAATACTATAAATACAACAAATAATACAAATACTACATATACTACAAATACTACATATACTACAAATATCACAATGTCGATATATCGTATCATTTAATGTGCTGATTCAGTATCGATATCGTGGGCTGCTGTATCGATAAATCACCAAGAGGATTTTTTTGGTTTATTTTACAAAATTATTTAGTTCCAGCTCCAGTTTTGTTGTTTGTTCAGATGAAGGAAACTCGTTTATGCGACACATTTGACATTTTGGCACAGGACGGGCGTCTGTGGTTCTGTTAATGTCCCCAAACACCTGTCAGTGTCTGAGTTTCCTGTCACCGGCCTCGTGGACACGTCCACACGTCCTGGAGCAGGTCTTTTGTCCTGTGGTAAGTGTGAGGACGCCCCCTGGTGGAGCAGAGGAGACGCTCATCATGAGCTCATCCCTTAGTGTCACGTCCACGCTCGTCCCAGCGCACGTCAACGCTCGTCCCAGCGCGCGTCCCAGCGCGCGTCCCAGCGCGCATCCACACTCGTCCCAGCGCTCGTCCACACTCGTCCCAGCGCTCGTCCAGCGCCACACTCGTCCCAGCGCTCGTCCCAGCGCTCGTCCACACTCGTCCCAGCGCTCGTCCCAGCGCGCGTCCACGCTCGTCCCAGCGCGCGTCCACACTCGTCCCAGCACGCGTCCACACTCGTCCACGCTCGTCCCAGCGCTCGTCCACGCTCGTCCACGCTCGTCCCAGCGCGCGTCCACGCTCGTCCACGCTCGTCCCAGCGCTCGTCCACGCTCGTCCCAGCGCGCGTCCACGCTCGTCCCAGCGCTCGTCCACACTCGTCCCAGCGCTCGTCCACGCTCGTCCACACTCGTCCCAGCGCGTCCACACTCGTCCACCACTCGTCCACACTCGTCCACACTCGTCCAGACACTGTGGATCTGAAGTTCTTTCATCGACTGAACCGTGAAATGTCGTCGTACTGATGCTTCATCTGTGAAATAAAACTCAAACCTGCAACTTCAACTTCCAAATAACATCTGACATATTTTTACTCTTGTCCCGCCCCTGTCTGCCCCTGTCTGCCCCTGTCTGCCCCTGTCTGCCCCTGCCCTTCAGTCCCTGTCCCTGTCGAAGCAGCTGGTCCGTTCTGCAGAGCGAGATCTTCTCCACAGAGTGAACGACGCTGAGGTGGAGCGGCTGGTGGAGCGCTGGACCTCAGACGAGTGTTTCAGCGCCATCGTCAGCTTCTTCCAGAACAAAGCCAAACTCTGAGACCAGGACCAGGACCAGGACCAGGACCTGGACCTGGACCAGGACCAGGACCAGGACCTGGACCAGGACCTGGCTCTGAGACCTGCACACCAGATCCTCTTGATCCTGTAACATGAAGATCTTTGTTTGTTTCACGTTCTTGTGATTTTCATGTTTTTAATGAACCTCAGATTTGAATCCTCGTTTGAGACGCGTCTCAGTGAAGCGTCGTCGTGTTTACAGATTCTGTTTAAGTAGAATAAAAATTTAAAAACTTTGTAAAAGTGCCTAAAATCTCACAACTTTTGTGTCATAAAATATTTGTAAAGATTAATATTGGTTTGTTTTTTTATCATCTGAATTTACTGCAACAACAACTACTACTACTATTACTATTACTACAACTACTACTATTACTACAACTACTACTATTACTATTACTACAACTACTATTACTACAACTACTACTATTACTATTACTACAACTACTACTACTACTACACTACTAACAACTTCAA